TCTCTCTCTCTCTCTCTCTCTCTCTCTCTCTCAATTAAAGCAAATGTGAATATATATGTTATATGCCATCTTGATCATTTGTAGTAATATATTGTAGGGAAAGGGCTTAATATAAGTTGTAAAACTTGTGCCCAACTCCCATTGTATATAAATTACAATAAAATATGTTTAAATCAAATAAATCATGCATAACTTTTTTTTTTAAATTTAACAGAGTACTCCTTAATTTAACATCATATTGAATAGTATTGCACTTCAAAAAATATTAAATATTTAATGATTTTAATGGAGGCCTAACCCTAACGGTTGGGGGCCGAGAAAGTATGGCCACTGTTTAAAAAAAATTGGCTACTGAAATTCAAACATGGCTACTTTTTTGTCTACTGATTTTTTAGGTCCAGGGTGAGCCCTGGTAGTCTTTGAAAATGTCAATAAGAGACGAAAGATAAAACCTTATATAATACCGTTGTTATTTTCAAGTATCACCCAGTATACTTATTAAGTGGAGTCTCATTAAACGGTAATGTCATCATTTTAAATAGATTTTTTTTTTACACCTAACCAAAATCAAAACAAATATTAAGAGTCACAATAAAAACAGCAAGTTATTTCAAAAATATTGTCAATCAGGCATCTTGTAAACAACACTTGTTGTCGATATTACATGATATCAATCAGACATTATTTAAGTTTGAGTCGCCTTTGTCCAACAATGCTCGCGACCAAATTTGGTCAGAATCCAATCTGACGTTCTGGACTAAAGAAAAGCTGAAGATGGCTGGACAGATGGACGAATGGATGGTGGACTTAGGATGCATCGCTAAAGGGCCAGAAGAGTTAACATAGACTCATTGGGCCAGCATCACTCATGTGGTATTATTGTCACACTCGTGACCTTAAAAGTGCAATGAAATAAACTTAAAGGCAAATTATCATAACTATGTCAAGTAATTCAAACTTATCAAGATAACAAATGTAATAGCTTTTCATCCTTGCCAAATATCATAACTTTAAACCGTTTGTTTTTGAGAAGAGTTTTTTTAAAGGTTTATACACATTTGATAATTTGATCTTGATAGTGGGTCAAAGTCATTCATATGAACAGACATGATAGTTCTTCATCTGAGCATGTTATTGTCAAATAGCACCATCCTATGACTTTTGTATATAAAATGCAT